ACCATGTACTTGCAAGTAGCACCTTAACCTTGGGATGATTACAGGGGACATCGTGGAGAATAACTTTTACTTAGGGAAATGTGACTGGAAGGAATCTCCAACCTATGAACATGAACCTTCTCCCTCCACAGGACCCACCTCCCAGACTCCCTAACGTAGGAGGGTAGAGCATTTGACCGCATCTGCTCTCTTCCCAGTGTGGCTCCCCACAGAACTGATCCTGGGGGTGTCTGAGACTCTGCTTACAGGAGTCGAACACCTCATTTTTCTCCCAAGGAGCAGCTGGTGGTTTAGAACTGACCTTGTGGTTAGCAGCCCAAGGTACATGTAACCTACCAGGGCTCCCCACCGTGCCTGAAAAACAGCTCACTTTTATAGCTGGCAGGAAGACAAGAAGGTGAAGGTGGAAGCCAGATTGTAATGCCTGCGGCTTTCCTAACTGAGCACGCCTGTAACCATCTGCCTGCAAGGTCCACCTTCCTGGTCTTCCCTTCCAGCTGCTGTCCTATCTACCTCTCTGCTCCAGCTGTGTGCTCCAGAGCCTCACCCAAGCGCTACACCTCTCCCTCCGCCTGGGACTTGCACCCAGGTGGTACAAAGATAGCATCCCCCTGCTGTTAGGGAGCACATGGGGGCCCCTAAACTACCCAGCAGCGGTTACAATCCCGTTTGAGAATAGGTTGCCTTTGTTGTGTGAGGAGGTAGGATTAAAGTAGGGTGGATTTCTTTTGAGATATCGAAGAGATGAAGTAAGCAAGTGAGAGAAGTAGAGATGAGGGAAGAGTGATGTCAAGCTACAAGTAGATCTCCAACGAAGCTGACCGCATCTAACAGCAGCAGCAGCCAATAAGCATGTTTGGGAAAGCCATTCACCTGTGGTAGTGCTGTCAGAGCAGCCCCGGGACTACCAGCTGAAAGACGGAACTCTGAGCCCAGATCAACTTCAGACAAACAACAGAAACCTGAGGGTGGTGGTTAGAACCCACTCGGTGATGGCATGGAAGTAAAGGCCTGGCACCTGTTTCTATCAAGATTATAGTCAAGGGCACCTTAAGGGGCAAGTCTCCTTTCTAACACCTGGGACCATCATGCGCCAGAATCCTAGTGCTTTCCTAGCGTCGGGATGTCTTCTTTGCAACACGTGTCTGCCGAGAGAGAATTTGTTTCTTGTGGGTCCCTTTCATTGACCATAAGATATGTAACAGGGAGGAAGGAAGGGAGGGGGAGGGAAGGGGAAAAAATGAGGAGCTGATACCAAGGGCTCAAGTAGAAAGAAAATGCTTTGAAAATGATGATGGCAACATATGTACAAATGACACAATGGATGGATGGATGGATTGTGATAAGAGTTGTATGAACCCCAAATAAAATGAGTTTTAATCATAATAAAAAATATATATGACGACTTTTTTAAAAAAGCTCTGTAACAGCAGAGGCTGGGTAGTGGCATTCACATCTATTCCTGCAGGTTCTAAAATCTGAGGAGCATCACCAGAAAGCATCTCCTTGGATGTCTTTTGTCTTTATGAACCAGGCTGGATACCCCTGTGGGACTGAAAGGTGTGTGGGAAGTCCTCCCTAGATACATGCATCCCCTTTCCCCAGGAACCATGAACCCTGAGACATCCTCCCTCAACTCACTGCCACGGAGTCATTCCTAAACGGTCCCTGCAGATTTCTGAGACGCTACCTCTTTACGCGAGTAGAAAGCCTCATCTTTCACTGGAGGAGCAGCTTGTAGTTTTGAACTGCTTGCTATGCAGCCCAGTGCAGAAGCCATGACACTACCAGGGCTTCTAGTAGAACTTTAGGCTCTTGTAATGTGTCTGTTTAATGTCTACTAGTGCGTATGTGTTGTTGTTTTTTATCATTTTATTAGGGGCTCATACAACTCTTATCACAATCCATACACACATCAATTGTGTCAAGCACATTTGTACGTTCACTGCCCGCATATGTGTTTTAGGAACATGTCTTCATGTTCTTTCCATGCACTCGTGAGCGAAAGTGCACGTGCAGGTCTCAACTACTGACTGAGCATCTGTGTGAGTCCGGGTACTTTAGAGAGACAAATCCACAGAAACTCATGTACGAGAGAGTTTTATATAAAGGTTAAGTGCACATCAAGAAAACATCCCAACCCAGTGCTGCCCAAGCCCACAAGTCCAACATTAACCCATTAACCCATATGTCCGACACCAATCCACAAAGTCCTCCTCCATCTCACAAAACACACACTATGATGCTGACTGCAGGAGGAAAGCTGAGTCAGTGAGAGTGTAAGCATCTCAGCGCTGGCAGGGGTCTCCACACGGCTGCCCCAGCACCCAGGGCTGCATTGGGGTAGGTCCATGTGGCTTCTCCTCGGGGATGTCTTGCAGGAAGTGAGCCTTGTCAGTTGAAGCAGCGAACTGGCTAAGGCAGCTGCACCCTGGTGTGATCATCATAAAGCAAGAGACCTGAGAACTAGAAAGGCGAGTCTCACTGAACCACTTAACCCTCTGCCCTTCAATTAACTCCACGTGTGTTTATCGGCCAGGTTGGCACAATAAACTAACTCAGCATCGCAGATGTTTTGCCAAGTTTCTGGGTGGAGCTCAGAACCAGTCACTTTGCCATGCGATGGTGATATAGAAGACTTGTCCACAGACGATTTGTGACACCATGTGTGACCGATACTAATCATCATTTTATAGGGTCACGAGTGAACAGAAACCGGCTGGTATTCGTCATTTTTAACCCAGGCAATTATACGGTCTACTCTGCCGAGAAGTGGCAAATTGAAGAAGAAAGGCGTTGAGTTTGCTGTTAAAAAGAATATGTGAGAGCTCAGTGGAAACACCATGCAGTAGTGATCGGATAAACAGCCATACACATGCAAGGAGGCGCAGTCAGTACAACCTCTACTCACATTTGCACACCAAGCACTAATGACAAAGATGGAGAAACCAACTTCTGCAGTCTGAAATTAATGAATCCAGATCCACTGATAATTGATTGGGATGAGGAAGTTGAGGACAAAGGATCAAAAAGGATGACTAAGATGGAGCTAGTAGTAGTAAATACAGCGCTGGTAATTACATGATAGAATTTTGCAGGACCAAATTATTTAATCATTGCAAATATCTTTGAACAACTATATAAACCGAGAGTGGACTGCACTGGAAAGACGACAGAAGAATTAAATGGACTACATCTCTGGAAAGAAATGACAAAAAAGCGCAGCCTCATCAGTGAGAACAAAGCCAGGGGCTGACTGTGGAACAGCCCATCAGTTACTCAAATCGAAATTCAAGTTCAAATTGCAGCTGAAGGAAATTCAGCAAGTCCATGAACACCAAAGTAAGACCCTGAGAATTATTCCACCGGAATCTATAGACCATCTCATAAGCAGATCTGACACACTCAATACTAATGGCCCAAGAGCAGGGGAGCTGTGGATGACATCACACGATGAACCCAAACGATCACCATAAAGCTTAGCTGTCCTTTGAAGACTTAGATGTCACTTTGAAGTGGGCCTGATCCAAGTCGTGGCATTTTAAATCATTTTATGTGCACGGGAAACCTGGAGCATGAATCAAGGACAAGGAATTGATGCCTCTGGATTACGGTGTTGGAGAATACGAAATGTGCCACAGAATGCCACAAGAGCTAACAGCTCTGCGTTGGAAGCCAGAATGCTTTCGAATGGAGGATGGCTAGAGTTCGAGTCCCATACTTTGGACAGAGTGCCAGGAAGGGGCAGTTCCTGGACGATGCCATTCTTGTGGACGTCCCGTACTTTGGACAGAGTGCCAGGGAGGGGCAGTTCCTGGACGATGTCATTCTTGTGGACGCTAACGGACAAGAGGATTGACTTGGTGGCTGCAGCAATGAGCTCAAACACACAAACCATTGTGAGGATGCCACGGGGCCAGGCAGTGTTTCTTCTGTTGTGCACTATGAGCTGGGGGGTCGGGGGGTCACTATCAGAATCGACTGGACAGCACCTAACAACACTGGTTCTGGTTCACAGAGGAGACCGGGCAGTGCCCGTAGGTACGGTGCTCAACTGCAAACAGAAGGTTGGAACCTACCAGAACCTCTTCGAAAAAAGGTGTGGCAGCTGGCTTCTGTAAAGATCTCAGGCTTGGAAAACTATGGGGGCCTCGCTTCCATTAATATTTCAGTCTTGGAGATCCTGAAACAAGTCCTACATAGTCACAATACACACGTAGAAATAGACAACTGCAGTCAGTGGGTTTGGCTTCTTGTTTAATCATTTCATAGAGAAGTATGAGAGATGTACAAAAATGACTTTCTGCTTAAACTTACACTTAAAGGAGAATTTTAAGAGCGCCATTGCTAGAGTCCCTCCCAGACACATCGACGTCTTTAAAATCGAAGTCCAACAGCAAAATCTTAAACCACAGACAACTACTGATACAAACCAAGTAAGCCCTGCAAAAGGGCCACAGCTCACGCAAAACTTCTTTACTTACTAAAAAGGCCATAAGACGATGTTTCCTGTAAGGAAACCACACTGAAAACAAAGTTAAACCATAAAATCCTACCCAATACCGTCAACTTAAAAACTCGATCGTCAGAAAATCAGATAGGAGCAAACAGGATGTTGCAAGTCCTGCTCACACGGAGACGCTAATCACGTATCATGAGAGCTCCAATCATCATTTTATCTCTGTTCTCCAAAAGGAGGAACAGGTAAGGATTAACCTTACTGACGATAAATTGTAACATAGTGCCATCCTGTACTCAGTGAAACAGATTCCGCTATCATCTAGGGTGAGTTTAAAACTCCTTAGCTCAAGCAACCTACTCCTACTTACTTTTCTCCACTTATCTAGCTACCTTTCTCTGCTAATCTCTTAATATCTATCTCTATTTTTAATTTGGCTTCCCGAAAAGGAATAAACCAATCCCTCCCAGAATGCTCTATGCCCCGTACGTGCTGGAGGAATAGGAGCCACGTGTATCCCTTATTTACATATTACCGCCCACCCGCCTCCGCCAGAGGGCTACCGTAATCATCGAAATAAAAGCGATATCTACAATTCTAAGGTCTGCAAGGGTGGAAAACAGTGTTTTTTTCAGTAGTTTGGCCAGCCAGATTCACCCTTGACATTTTTATGTCTTTTAAACATATATATATATATATATATAGTGTTTTAGGGCAGACTATATATAGCGAATTAGATTCCCGTTTAACCATTGTTGCACAAACTGCTCCTTGACATTGGTTACAATATTCGCAGTGTGTCCCAATTCTAATGACTGTATTTCCATTCTGTTGTTTGGCTCCCATTGTCCAGCATTCCTGCCCCTCCTCGATTTTGCTTGTGATTAAACATTAAACATGGGTCGTTTGGTCTCCTGTAATTGGTTTGTTTTTTGTTTGTTTGTTTGTTTTTAAAGGGAGGACATTCCTTCCAAGATGATATGGTTTGAAAAATGTTACCATTAAGTTGTGATATCATAAAGTACAGTACGTGTTTTCAAAAGGGACTAAATAAAATACCTGTGGCCCTAGATTCCTGATAAAGTCCAAAATCCGTTTCAAATAAGGGAGAAATTTTGCCTTCCTGCTTGGCCCTCCTCCAGCTGGGTGCCTCCATTTCCCTCCTGAAGGTGATCACAAAGGTTTCTTTTTCAGTCCAAAGACAGCGACGAATAATGCCATTTCCGTGACAGCCGGGAGGGCGCTGTGGGGAGTAAGTGGTGGGTTCAGGGACATTTCATAAAAATATCCAAATCCCCAAACTAGAGACCTCCTCTAAAAGTGGGGGCAGCGACTTCAGAGATACCTTCAGAATCCAGGTAAACCTTCCTCCCCCGTCGCCAAACACCTCACCTGCAGAAGACAAAGATGTACCAGTAGGTGGTGCACTCCCAGCGCTCGAAGATGAAGAAGGACAGAGCCACGGAGGCACTACAGTGCGCAGCGATGGCTTGGGAGCACACGGGAGTCAAGGAACGTCTTGCAATGGGCAGGTGGTGGTGGGCCAGAAAACCCCTCGGTGGGCTGGCGTCTGTGCTCATCTTTAGCTCCCTGACTACACCGCCAGGGTAAAAGCCTGCAGCCCAGCCCACCTGGTACCCCAGGACACCCTCACCCCATCATTATCCGCCTGCACCCTCCAGGTTACGAAGTAAGCTACCCCAACTTTCAAGCCTACGGGGAAGGCTCTCAGCTCTACAGTCCTGCGACTCCGGGCTCCCCATTCAGGCTGCCAGAGCCTTCTCTGGGCCACGGCCTCCACTTTCTCTGTCTCTTTTGAGTTTCCACAGAGCATGACATCCTTACCAAAGCTGTAGGACAGAATCACACTGCATTACACGTTTGTCTGTCCGGACGTTTTACTCCCATTTCTGGATCTCCACTGTCTGGCGTGGAGCAGAGCTTCCTGGATATTTGAAGAGTGTTCGATCCTGCCCATTGTTTACGGGCGGCGAAGCTTTGTACTCCCATCAACAGTTATAATCTTGGAAACCCGCGCCCTATAGGGGAGCGATGAGTCCACACCGACTCCATGGGGTGAGTTTGGCTCCGGTTTGGTTGTTTAGGGAGCTCTCACAACTGGAAATGTTTTGTTTGGCCCCTAAAGCCAACTCTCGTGCCAGAAGCTCCTGGTTAGGGGCTGAAGGGAGCCCTACTGAAGCGGGAGAAGGGATGCGGCTGGAAAGGATACAGATGAGACTCTGGGTGCAGTTGAACATGGAAACTCCTGAGAAGAAGCCGGCCAACTCCACTGCAAAGAGGCCCAGCGTGACCGAAAGAGCGACCACCAGCCTGCACACGGAAAGGGAACTGGCTCAGCCCCTGGGAACTTTTTCTAAACCCTCCCCCCGCGCCCCTCCCCCAGCCCCCCGTTGCTGCATTCTGATCACCCCCTTCCACGAGCTTACTGGACATCCTGCTCCTCGTACTCCTCGGGAGTGAAGGTGAGAGGCAGGCAGGCCTGGATGTTACTGTCCTGGGAAGGCCCGCAGGGAGGAAGGCAGGTGTGAAAGAGGGGCGGGTAGTGGGACGCTGAACCACAGGCCAGGGGCGGGGCGGGGCGGGGCGGGGCCCGTCCCAGGTGGGGCGGGCCTAGGGGTGGAAAGGGGGCAACTACAGGCCTTACCCGCGACCAGAAGAGAGTGATGACCACCACCAGATGTGCCAGCAGCGTCAGGAAGCGCGAAGGCACGAGCCCCGAGACCCGGCCCATGGCCCCCGGGGACCAGGGACGCCGCCCGGAGCAGACGCCGTGGTTTCAGGGGCTGCAAGTTCTCCGCGGGTCCCTCCTGGGGTCCCCGCAGCCCCAGGCAAGCGCGCGCCAACGCCCGCGCCTCCTTTCCGCGAGCGCGGGCGCCCGGTTACCTGGGCAACGGCGTCGGCGGGTGCGACGCCGCGTTCCCTGGAAATCTCGCGAGAACTGGACTTCTCGGGTATCCCGAGCGCAGGGTCAAGTTCAAGCTCCGGAGGTGGTCGCGAGCCGGAAGTGAGTCCGCGGGCCACTTCTGGCGCTCACTGCAGCGGCGTGTGGCCGAGCCTGCTGCTGGGGGTCGCACAGCGCCGAGCCCAGCCCGGGACAGCCCCCCGCCCGGTGCCCACCCGGGGCCCCCACGCTCGGCTCCAGTGCGCAGGGCGACTTCAGGGGCGGAGACCACTGCCGCTGTCGCGCCAGCGCCGACTGGGGGGACAGTGCCACCAAGTCAATTCTGACTCGTGAGAAGTCCCGGTAGCACTTTTGCAAGTTTTCTGTCATTATTTTTAAATAAGTTTTTAAAATATTAATGAAAACTTTTGCAAGTGTTCTGTAATTATTTTTACAGACGTTTTTAAACTATTCATTAAAAAGCTGAAACACCTTTTAAACACCTTTTAATCACAAGCTTTTGTCAACATCGACAAAGTCATTCTAAGCTCATGTGGCCTGCTTTGTTTTTAAATCCTGGTTTGATTTTGTTTCATACTTATGTTTCACATTTACGTGGCTCTGTGGTAAACGATACCCCCCAAAAGAACGTTCAGCTGGGCAGTCATTACGGTCGTCCTGTCGAGACCATACAGCTTCCTTCTTAATGTTTATTATCAAATTTAAACATCGAATACTATGTGTTGGATATCATTGTAAATTGCTTACATCTTACATCCAGGCTCCCATGTAGTATTAGCTTGTGTGACCACAGCGGCATTGTTTTATGAAATCTCTCTGGCTTGAGTTGACAACATTATTAGTAACTGAGCAGAAACCTTTTTCAATTCGTTTTCACCTTTTATTCACTCTCAATAACTTATTGATAAGGTTCTTACAGTCCACTTACCACAAAATTGTAACCCAAACATCTGAAAACGTTACAAAATCAGTCAAATAAAATGCCAGAAAGCAATGGAAATAGTGCTTGAAGACGGAAAAACGATTTCCAGCATCATTGTAATTGGGTAATAAGGACAGCTGTGACCATAGTGCATTAGAAGGTTCAAAAGGAAGTTAGCATAGAGTTTCACCCCCATAGGTGCATTGATAACTATAAGCTGGGCCTATGAAAAATGCTTTCGTTGGTTAAAAAAGGCACATTTTTATTAAAAAATAAATTTCTGCCGAAACGCTGCATAAAAATTTTATAGACAGTCCTCTGACATTGTTACCCTGTTCTGTCCCACTCCCCACACCCTCTGTGAGGTGCCATTACAGTCAAGAAAGTCAGGTGTGTTCATCCGGGTACTTTAGAGAAACAAGTCCACAGAAACTGAGAGCTTTATATAAAGGTTAAGTGCACATCAAGGAAACATCCCAACCAAGTGCTGCCTAAGTCTAACATTAACCCCAAATCCATATGTCCATCACCAATCCACAAAGTCCTCCTCCATCTCACAAAACAGACGCAATGACGCCGACTGCAGGAGGAAAGCCGGTCAGTGAAGGTGTAATCATCTCAGCGCTGGCAGGGGTCTCCACACCGTTGCTCCAGCACCCAGGGCTGCACCGGGGTAGCTCCATGAGGTTTCTCCTTGGGGATGTCTTGCAGGAAGTAAGCCTTGCCAGCTGAAGCAGGGAACTGGCTAAGGCAGCTGCACCCTGGTCCGACCATCACAAAGCAAGAGACCGGAGAACTAGAAAGGCGAGGTTCACCGAGCCATTTATCTTTCCGCCCTTCAATTAACCCCACAAGTGTTTATCGGCCAGGTTGGCACAATAAACTAATTAACTACCTCATCAGGCCTCCACTTTGGGCCTCTCCCTTAGGTAAACCATTTTATTAGTTTCTGGTTTCTACTTCCATTTATAACACAAATACACACACATTCTTAATAGTACTTTTCACTTACTGCATGTTGTAATTGAACATTATCGTAGCCATTACCTGGCTTGATTGTGTGGGTGTGTTATTGGGCTTGATTAAAAAAAACAAACTTTCTATTGTGATATGAGTGAAGGTTACCAGGAAAATTGGTTTTCCCTCCAATTGTTCATAACAATTTATTCCATGACATTGCAGTTTGTACAAGGTAAAGCACTGCTCCACCTTGGTGCCCTGGTTTCATTTGGCCTTCCTTCCTGTCATCCCTGCCTTCAGAGGTTTATCTCAGGGCAATACTGTGTTTTACTTCCTATGCTTGATTGTTCTGTGGAGTGTATTGTACACCCTATAGGACTGTCTACTGTTTGGGGATGAGTTCGGTTCTAGGCCTGAAGACTGACCAAGGCCCATCATTTTAGGGGTTCCACCAGCCTCAGTCAAACCTGTTTTAGTAGTAGTAGTATTCATTTGAGTGTTGTTCACCATGTTTCTCCCATTCTATCAAGGACCCTCTACTGGGATCCCTTTCAGAGATGTCAGCGGTGGTAGCTGGGCACCATCTAGTTCCAGGCTCAGGGGAACGGGTGATGTCCACACGGTCCATTAGTTCTTCGGACTAATTGTTTCAAGGTGACTAATGTTCTTCCCGCTCCTTTGTTCCAGATGTGGGTGTTCTGTGTCACCCAGTTGGTTCCTCTCGGGGCCTGTGTACAGCAGAAGGAAACCCTGTTTGGTCCTAAACCATCCTCACCGTTGCTATTATGTTTGGACCCATTGTTGCAGTCACCGTGCCAATCCCTTCATTAAGGGGCTCCCTCTTTTTCGCGGATCTCCTACTTGACCAAGCAGGATGCCCTTTTCCAGAAAGATGCCCAGAGGACATGGGATGAAGCGCCTTCGCTGGCTGTTCACAAGCTTTACCGGCCTGCTGGGGCTGTTACTCACAAAAGTAGAGTGTAAAACATTGTCTTCATGACCTGCTGTGCCAATTGACCATGATGTCCCCAGCAACTATAGCCTCCGCATCCAGGCCCGGAGGGTTGGTTATGGCTAAGAAATGTACAGTATTTTTGTCCCCTGTCTGCTTTATTATAAAGCTTACAACCTATATAAATAACATCTGGTGACTTGTCTGTGGTCTTGACTGTACCCCTTTTCACCCAGTCCTCTGTTCCTCTTGCTGTCTGCCTCTGTGTCCATGGGTTATTGTTTATTTCTGGGAATGGAGGAGGGCGGACGTAATGGTATTTACACCTGTCTAACTGTGGAGCCACCCTCTGGAGTCTTCCTTTGGTTTAGTGGTATTGTGTTGGTCCCCCACCTCACCCAGCCTCTTATTGTATGTTGCCTTTTCTTTTACACAAATGAATACATACGTGTCTGGGATCTAAACGAGGAGCCTCGATGGTGCTGTTGGACTCGAAAGCCAATCAATCTCCTTGCCGTGAGTCGATGCCAATTCCTGGTGAGCCTGAAAAAGCACAAGAGACACCTGGGCCGTGACTGAGTCTGACTATGGCAGTGGAACAAGTCTGGTCTGCCTCCTGCAGGTGGGTCTGAAGTGCTGACCTCAGAACCGCTGCGCCACCAGAGCTCAGCAGGCCTTGGCCTGCTAACCACACCCTCAACCGTTCCAACTCACCAACTGCTCAGAGTGAAGATTTACAAGCCTGGAAACCCACCAGGGCAATCCATTCTGCTCTGCAGTCACTGTGAATCAGAAGAGACTCAATAGATGAGGGTTTTTTATGTTTGGTTTAGTTTGGTTTGGGAAGGGGTGGATCTGCTCCCACAATTTCCAGCCTCGGAAACCCTAGGCAGGGCCTCTGTGGGTCAGGCTCAGCTTGATGGCATGGAGTTTTATGAACTCCGACTTCATCTTCACAACTTCCAAAAGCAAGCTTGGTGGGAATAATATTCATTTTATGTAATAAACAAAGACTCAGAAAGGTGAAGAACTTGCCAAAATGCCAGCTAATACGTGACAGAGACTGGGATTCTCGGAGATCAAAGGTGCAATAATAGTACCCAGAGGAACCAACTAAGCTAGGAAGAAATTAAGAAAGTGAAGACCGTGTTGGAGGAAGGAAGGGTAATTGACCACGTGGAATGCTTTGTCCTTTAAAATGTGAAGTGCTGGTGGGGCAGTCCTTTGAACAGAACCAAGGGACACTGCATGGTTCAAAATTAAAGGGCTGGAAAAAATTGGAGGTGTGTGGCAGAGTTGTATCCATTGACCATGCGTATTCCAGCTATACAGCCGAGCTGGACCAGATGAAGAAAGTGGGGTCAGCATTGGAGAAAGTCTCCTAAGAACCTTGCCTGTCTCAAGTGAAGAGGATTGAGGCACTTCCTGATGAAGTTCAAAGTCTACAGCTTCCTCTATGGATTTCTCTGCAACATAAAGAAACAGACAGAAATCCTCTCAGCCACGCCAGAAAGTAACATCATGTTAAGCAGAAGCTATTGAAGTTGTCAACGATTTAATTTTATTTGGGGCAACAATGAACATCCATGGAAGTAGCAGTCAAGAAATACTATTGCATTGAGCAAATGTGCTGCACAAAACCTCTTTAAAATCTTAAAGAATGAGGGGGGCAGAGGAAGGGAGGGGGAGGGGAAAAAAAAGGAAAATGAGCTGATTCCGGGAACCCAAGAGGCAAGCGAATTTTGGGAATGATGAGGGCAACAAATGTATAGATGTGCTTTACACAATTGATCTATGTATTGTGATGAATTTTATGAGCCCCAATAAATTGATTTATTAAAAAAAAAAAGTCAATACCAAGAAAAAAAAAATCTTAAAGAATGAAAAGGTCACTTTGATGACTCAAGTGGACTTGACTCAAACCAGTCTTTCCCTCTGTGCAACCGAACACAGCGGTGCCATTCTAGCGACCGACCGTCACCATGTTGGAGCCTAATAACTGTCGTCGTTGCTGAGCCAGTTCGTCTGGTCCAGGGTCTCCCTCATATT